TGACAGATGTATGTATGGATGATGGATGTATGGATGGATGATGTATGGATGGATGCCAGATGTATGGATGGATGGATGGATGGATTGTAAGATTGCATTCATCCAGTCAGAACTTAAAACATGTGTTCAGGACAACTCTCAGCTACTACCACAAGAAAGTTTAGCTCAGTATCTATAAAACTGGGTGAGTTAAATTCTCCAGATGTCAGTCAGTTGTCCTCTGGTTGATGAACATTGTTAAACGTTGCAAACGGAATATCTTTGCTGCCTTAGTTTGTATTTGTACAAATGACAGGCACAGCATAAATCCACTTCTTCAATAACAACTCTTGCACATGAACTTAGAATAAAATAAAAATTAAAAATAAAATAGAACAAACATTTCTGTTGTTTTCACAGAGTGACGCTGCTTTTTGTTAGCTCGAAGTCGCTGAATGCAGGATTGCTGTTGCCAAATTTCTTCTCTCTGTCCTTCTTTAAGTCGAGCTGTCCGCTTCGTTTTTCCACCTTAACAGAAAAAAAACAAAGCGAACGCTCAGGAGCTGTTTTGGGTTACAAATGAAGCCAGTGGAGCTGGACTCACCCTGCATTTAAATAACTTGATGAAATAATAAAACGTTGTGTCCTCCTTCTTTAATAAGAGCCTCGGTTCCACTTTCAGCTTACAGCCTCCTTTAATGAAGCAGGGAAAGAAATAATCAGAAAGTGGTGTAACTTACTTTTCTACGTATTTGAAGTCATTTACCCGTTAACACGCTGACCACCAGTCCCACACTGATGGTTATCATGGTTCCAACTGGACCGAAGTAAAGGTAGGACAGAGAGTAGAGGTCTTCCAACATGGGCCTGCTGGTATGAGAGGATTGTGCATTAAAGGCCTACTTCCAGAAGGAACGCATGAGCACCCAGAGTATGTGTTGTGGATTATTCTCAGCTACTACCACACCAAAGTTTAGCTCCGTATCTGTGAAATTAGCTGAGTTAAAGACCTTTTGCATTTCATATTATTCACCTGCCACCATCATGGATGGGAATGTTAAGGGTGGAGTTTGGTTGGGTTGGCAGAGCCGTGGAGGTCCAGTTCAAGGTGCTCGTTGTGGTGAAGTTACAGCCGTCAGTGTTCAGCGGCAGAGGCCGACTCAACTCGGGGGGTGGGGGGTAAATATGGGCTCCGATGCCCACCCAAAGGGAAACTACCAGCCCTGACACGAGCCCTGAAACGGCTCCCTGCAAGAAGGGGAGAATGGTAACGCTTTCCAAGGAGAACAGAAATATTAAAAAGGTTGAGCACAAGTTCTGTGGAAACATTTTGAACTATTAACATCTTATCTGTTGTAGATGCCTTTTTGAACTATGCTAGTTTGGAAAAATAGAAATTCTTCTGAACGGATTGACGAGCTATGACCAAAGACAATCGCTGCAGTCAAAGAAGTCATTCAAATTATTTTTTTAAACTTTATATCGCCGTCAGTTTTGCATTAAACGGTTGTTTCTGCTAAAATATTAAGACTTCCTTGCCAGAAACTCTCCAGCCTAGACCAGAAGTGCTAAAGCTAGCTGCTGCTGTCAGTGTTTGCAGCAGCTTCATTCTGCGCCCAGATGAGTGATTGGCTAAGACATTTAGGAAAATCAGGTTTCGTTATGATGGGATTTATTCGCAAGTTTATAAATGTTAAATGGCAGACACAAAGTTTTAGTCCATTTATGTGAGGAAAAATGAACAACTATGAAAAAAACAATCTTGTAAGTTGCATCCTTAAATACTAAAGGGTTAAAAAAAAAATGCAGTGCTAGAAAAAATGTTGATGCAATGTAAGGTTAGGTACTTATTTATGTGAAAAAGTGTGTAAAATGGATAAAAAAATGCGAATGATAACCAATTTCAGACGTTCACTATATTTTATTAGCTGGCATTTGTTACTAAGTTTATTTGTCCAGTTTATTTTCATGTCCATTGGTATAAAGTATATCAAATATGGAAAAATGTTTTTTTTTTCTTGAGACCTGTAATTTTCATTAGAAATAACAACCACTTATGGTTGTGGACCCTATTGGACCAAGGCCCAGCTGTGGTATGGTCCTTAATTTTTCTGAATAAAATATAAGAACCCTACTTGTAAATACCCACAAAATTTTATATAAATCGTGCAATACAAATTATACTCCATTAAAGTATAACTCTCTATAATAAGTCCATGTAAAGAGCTGCTGTACCTACAAAAGATCTTGTTTATAACTTTTCCACAGAAGCCCACTTCAGAAGAACTAAACTATCATTTATTAAATCTACAACAGGCCAGCTGAAACATTAAAGTGGGTACAAAACATTTGGATAAGGCTAGACTTACTTTGGAGTTGGCACACGGACACAGGATGCCCAGTGCAAACAAACCAAGTAAAGGACCTCCAATTATACCAAAAATGCTGACGGCTGCCTGGATATAAAAAATAATGGATCATAGGTTAAAGATTGGTCCGTTAACCTAATAAAATCATGTTTAAAGTGTTTCCTTTTGCCCGTTGTCATCAGAGCTACTCTACCTGCAAGATCCCTCCCATGAACGAGGCCAGTCCAGCCATTCCGATGCACAAAACTCCATAGAAAAAAGCTGCGTTTGGAAGAACATTTGGCACAAGGATCCCAAATTTAACCAATAGCATTTCAATCTTTTACTGTCCCGTACGGGAAGACGGTCCACTCACTCATTCCCTTTGAGATACAGGACAGGTGTTTTTCAGACAGGCTGGTGTACGGTCTGATCAGATCCTCTACTGTCACTGCAGCCAGAGCATTGATGCTGGAAGACACCGTGCTGAGGATTCAAAAAGGCCACCAATAAAAAAACAAGGAAGTATTTTTATAAACGTCAACTATTCTGCAGATAATAAGAGAAACACTTCAGTGGTGAATAAAAACCTTAGGGATCCACTGTATGCTGCTGCAACAAACAGGCCAGGGAGACCGGGGTAGTCTCCTAAGATGTCCATCACCAAATATGGCATCAGCTACAAAAAGAAGATATTGAATTAGAGGAACTGTGTAAACGCTGAGTGTTGAATGACTTTGCTGAAAAAGGTGAAACTGGGTTGTTACAGCTAAAAAAAAAAAGCATTTAAGATGATGAAAGCTAAAAGTAGTAAAGCTATAACTCAAAGTAGCAAAACAATAAGTTAAAAGTATCCAAATGGTAGCTCGGTGTTTCCCCTACTTGCCTTGGCAGGGCGCTCATCTATTCCGTGATTTATTTATTTATTTCGTTTTTGTTTTTTTGGGGGGGGAGACACGTCTGTGTGTTGCGCGTAGTTTTTACTGAAATTTTTCGAGCAGGTAAGGGGGTTAGACAGCTCAACGTGAGGGGAAGCGGAGCATTACCTATGTAGCATTTTAAGCTTTTTAGCATGTCTTATTGCACGCAGCTAGCTTAGCGCTACGTCAGTACTGGCAGTTGTTGAGCAGGGTGCAGGGGGCATTTCGGTAGGCACTAGGTTCTGTAGACAGGGCAGGGCGCTCCACTTGTATAATGGTAGGAGAAACACCGGTAGCTAGAGCAAAAGGTAGCAAAATGCTAATTCAAAGGTAAAAATAGTAAAATTGTAGCAAGGTTAGCTGCTAGCTAAAAGTGGCAAACGGCTATCTGAAAGCTATAAAGCAAATTGTTAAGTTTAAATCTAAAGGTAGCAAAATGGTATATAGGAGCTAAAAGTAGCAAATGGCTAGCTAAAAGTTCAAAGTAGTAAATCAGTAGCTGAAAGCTAAAAGTATCAAGATGGTAGCTTGAGCAAAAAGCAGCAAAAGCCTACAAAGTTAGCTCTTAGTTAAAAGAAGCTAAATGTTAGGTAAAAGCTAAATGTAGCAAAAGATTATTTAAAAGCTTATTGGACCTCTAACAGGGTTATTCAACTGGTAGCCCGAGGTCCATTTACGGCCCGCAGGTGACTTAATTCTGGTCCACCAATGACTTCATAAAATTTTTATTTTTGGGGGGGGGTTCTGGGTTTGAATAGGCTGTCTTAAAGCTAAAAGTTTCCAAAGGATACTAACTAAAAGTACTAATAGGCTAGGAAAAACCTGAAACATCAAGTCGTACCTGATCAAGAGCAGAAATAAGTCCGGTACTCCACGGGTCACAGTTTTTATAGACCGAGTACAGACACATTCCTGCAAACACTGAGCTCAACAAGACGGACCACAGACCTAGCAAGTTGATGTATATAGAACTAGAGACACACACACACAAAAAAAGATCAAACAAGTTTGGTTAAAACATGTTCAGACGTAGAGACAATATCATCAAGGTTATGAACAAATAATATTTTTCCTTGTTGAAGATATCTCTTTAAAAAGTAAAGCAGTTATGAAAAGTAAAATTTAATTTAGACCAGATTGACGAGCTAATGGCTAGCTTGAGCAGGACCACAACAAATTGCTGCCATGTTACAACTTCAGTCGTTTTTGTAGCAACCCATATTACAGCCCAGTACCTACTGGTACGTACCCTGTCTTTACCCAGTAAGTACCTTGTACCTGTACATGGCAGGTATGTACCCAGTAAGGACCATGTGTACCATGCAAGTGCCAGGTACACACCTAGTTAGTACAAGGAACATAGCAGGTATAAACCCAGTAAAGATGAGTTAAGTACTCGGTATTTACCGGGCCATTATTTATAGCTACCAAAATTTCTGACTACTTTGGACTTTTTGAGGACTGTGCTCTACATTAACTACCACCAATTATAACATATATAATAAAACAAATTCTCTATTTGAGTAAATGTGTTTGAAATGCCAAAACAAATCTGTCTTTCTGTACAAGTAGACTTACAGTCTGGCATGAGTCAGGCTCTTGCAGGAGATGTATCTTTGAACCTGAGCTTGGTTGATCCCATAGACACTGACCCAAATAAATGTCCCTCCGATAGTTAAGGTCCAGAAGGTGTGTCTCCTTAGAGGGTTCGTGTCAAAGCTGGTGAAAAGGACAAAAAAAAAATGTAAAATTGAACGTTATTCTGTTTTGAGTTTTCATTTATTTGGTCAGACAATCCATGTCAGAGGCTGAATTCAAAAGAAATTAACATGATGGGCAACAAACTGCTCCTGAAGTATTTATTAGTCAAGTCAAGCCAAATGTATTTATAAAGCACATTTAAAACAGGAACTGTTACCAAAGTGCTTACCAAACGTATGCTTATTTTCGTGTTAGAAGTTCATAAATGTGTTAGTGGGATAATTGACAGTAAACCGCAACACATTTTAAACTAATTATTTTAGATCATTGTATGGGTCTCTGTGAGCAAACTAGATTATTCCAATCCATTGTTCAATTTTTATTTTCAGTTATCCAGGTCATGGCAATCCTAACTTCGATAGAAAGCAAGTGGATTTCCTTTATTTATTTATTTTTTTTTTTTTGGGGGGGGGGGGGGGTTATACTGAAGTGCTGATTGTTAAAATAGCGATAAATATAGTGTGCTTGTTTCTTGCCGTCTGTTGAAAGTAGAAAGGAGCCATGTGTTCTTGGGGATAAGGCTTGCATCTCATTTGGAAACTGTTAACCATCACGTTCATCATGCACTGTTATGGTTCACAGTTGTGTTTAAAGTGTCCAGAACAAGAGCTGCTTTAAGTCTAAGGCCACGGTTCTCAACCAGGAAAAAAGTGAAGTGTTCCTTCCAGGTTAGGAATGAATTATGGCAAAATGGAGAAGGAGATGGACCAATGGATTGGGGCCTCATCTCAATCAGCCAATAACCGAAGCTCTCAATTTACAAGTTCATCGACATTCTAGCCTTCAACTATAGTCATGAGTTTTGGATCATGAGCAAAGGAACAAGATCTTGGATACAAGTGGCTGAGCTTCCTCTGTAGAGAGGCCAGGCTCAGCCTTAGATATAGGGTGAGGAGCTCCATTATCTAAGGGAGCTTGAAGTAGAACCGCTGCTCCTCTGCGTCAAAACGAGAAGTTCAGGCATTTGATTAGGATGCCTCCTGGAGGTTTTGTGGACATGTTCTGCTGGTAGAAGACTCTGAGACAGATCTTCACTGGCCTGGATGGATGGGTGGGTGGGTGATTGGTTCCTTTGTTCCTTCGTTCCTTCGTTCAATCAATCAGTGGTTGGTTTGTTCTGTATTCCTCTCATACCCTGGCAGCATTTAGAATGTATTATGCCTAAATTACAAGATAATGTAGAAAGTAATCCAACATGCTTTCTTGGTTTCTTTTTAAATACTTGTGTTTTGTTCAAATACTTAGTTTTGTTCATTGGTCAGGCTGGTGGAAGCTGCCCATGCATGGTCATATAGAGTAACTGGTCTACAGTCTTGTCTATGGCGTTTGATGAAGTTAATGTGCTGGTCCACATGTTTATAAACTTCTGGACTCCATGTGTTCAGCCAAAGAGGTACTCCTCATTGTCTAGTATTGATAAGGTGAAAAGGGATATATCTTAAAAGTCTTGGGCAAAAACCGAGACAGCAATGGTGAATTATCGTAACTGAAAATTCATTCCAAACAGTAGGAACTTACAGTTGCATTGATGCTTGCAATTACAGTATGCTTATTGTTTGTTTGGGCTTTTAATGTTTTTTTGATGGTCCTTAAACATTCACCAGAGCGTCACAGTACTTTGATGTCTTGAACCACTTTGGCTGTGACTGCCTGCCTGGGAGGAGTCAACGGTGGACAGGACAGCCCCCAGAAACCATCTTATCACCAGCAAACTGGTTGGTCCACTAAAGGAGTGTACTGCTTAGTGGGGGAAACGGTTTACTTGGGATTCCTCAGACTGATGAAGCCCTCTGGATAGAGGGCAAAACATCTTTCCACACCAAAAAAGAAACTGTCCAGATGACCTGATTGACCATTATTTGGATTTTGTTCCTGGATGATTGAGCATGAACTTTGATGAAAGCTTCACAGTACCTTTTTGTATTCTCCAAATTTATACAAAAAAGGCCACTGCATTCTTTATGAGAACACTTTTAAGTCTACAAACTTACTTAGTATGCATAAAACATTTTTCTATTGTTTGCTTAGGGGGAATCCAAAGTTCCTTCTTATAGAGATTTTAGGACCTTGAGGGTCCATAAGTTCAAAGGTTGCTACCTGACCGTCATGTGGGTCATTGAGGCCCCATCCGTTAAAAAGTTTTCCAGGGAAGGATGTCAAGATTGCACTGTTGATAAGAGGTTCTGATAAGAAAAGACCACTTCTCAGATTAGTGATTAAACCTCTTATCAGCCACTAACAAAGCTCTAAATGTCTCATGTGGGTCAAGGACTTGTATTAACACATTTTTAACTCTAAACCCACTCGGTCAACATTAGAAACATAAAGTTGGCTTTTAGTGTTTGGTTGGGTGTTCAGAACTAACTGTTTACGGTTACAAAAAATACCTTAATTTGGGAATTATACTGCAACTTGCAACAAACTAGGACACCATCTACTTTCACTGTATGTTTTTTTTAATTATTTTCTAGTCTTACCTCTAGCTTTGTCCCACCTTGTGTTCAAAACACACAAAAAGGGGTGAAGGTATAAAAGAACCCTATCAATCTCAGGGTTGTGCTGGATAGTCCAATAAAATGCACAATTCCAGCCTTTCTGTACAAAGAAAACAAGTTTTTGTGCCTATTGATGATTTACCGTCCAACTAAACTCAAGAGGTGAGATATGTTCAATGTACTAAACAATTCCAGTTGTACTTTTATTTTATTTTTAATATCAACACCTGGGTGAGACGTTGTATCCAACATGGAGTTTGGGATTGAAGTTTAATTGTTGCCATCAAGAAGAAAGTATGTTTCAGCTCCACGAACACAACAATCTGTTACCCACAATGTACCTGCTGAGCTTGTTACTGCGTGCGTGAACTGTTCTTACAAAATGTCCTGTCCTTGAACGTCTTCTGCTGAGACTTGAATTTTCTCCTAACACCATTGTTATTTTGTCCATATACTCACTCCCAAAAATTTAGTCTTCCTCCATCTTGACAGTCTGAAATGATGGCGACCACTCCGCCTTGTAAGAGCACAGATCGGACGATGATGGCCAGGAAACCTATTAACATGACACAAAGCTGGGAGGGTACACAAAGGTTTAGGTTCAAGTTGGGTTTTGTCCGAGTTGAGACTAATTTGAGCTGGTTCTTGTATTTGAATAATCTCAAATAAAAAAAAATACACATTTGTTGCAGATTTGCTGCAGCTATAAATGTGCATTGTAATAAAATGAGCTGTAATTCTTTGCAATGAAACTCTGGCACAACAATTTCCTGCGGGATCAATAAACTTCTATCTTATCTTATCTTAAAAAATAAATATAACTTAAAAGTGGAGTTCTGTGGAAACCCCACTTCAAATAATTTGCACAACCCTGTTTAGGTTTTCCCACAATTGCTGCAAAAAATGACACATTATCCCAGGTTTAATCAGCCAGCTTTACTCCTAATGTGACACTCATGGTATTTTGTCACCTCAAAGCCTACCTGAATGACATCTGTCCACACCACCGCCTTTAGACCGCCCTGCAACAACCACAAGCAGCTGTTTTATCCAAGTGCAGAAAGTGATGTCATCAAAACGTGCCGATAACGAAACACAAACTTGTGCGTGTATATTTAGTGACATACCATCGTGCAGTAAAAGGTACAGACCACACCTGTTGAGATGACAGCCCCCCACAGGTCTATACCAGTCACTGTGGAGAGAAGAGGAAGGTTTTAGACTGTGGCCAGTCCATTAAAGCCATGTGGGTTCAAGTGCCCTTCATGACCCACATACCGTGGTTCAAAGCAAGAGCTGGAGCGTAAATCACAATCCCAGTGTAAAGGATCTGCAGCAGACAGAAAACCCACCAGCAGGTTACAGATCTGTGGTTTTACTCCAGTAATTATGGGCTGACTGCTCCGATGCTCACCGTCTGGACAATGAAGAGGACGGTTCCGAGCAGGCGGGTCACTCTGCTGAAACGCATCTCCAGATACTTAATAGAAACAGAAACATCAACATCTATTTATTGCCCTTCTAGGACCAGGAGTCTGATATGTTTATAGTTAAAGCGAGACATTTTTTACCATCACTACTATTAAATGTAATTTGTTTAGAGCCAGAAATTCTACCTGGTTGTTAAAAATAACATAAAATTTTACAATTGTGATACGGTATAAATGCTGACACAGCATTTCTTATAGAAATGCATTGATTTCCCATCACTTCATTCAAAAACATTCATGGAAATCAGCTTCAGCGTATTTGTTCCATTTTTGGCTTAATTTTACCTTTTAGCGTTTGAATGCTTTTAGCTTTAAGCTACCATTCTGCTTCTTTTAGCTTTCAGCTACAATTTTTTTTACCCAATATTTTGCTGATTTTAGTCACAGTTTTTCTATTTTTTTTTCCTACTGTTTAGTTCATTTTAGATATTCCTTGTTATAAGTTACTTCAAAAACTTTGTTCTTCAAAATCAGATTCAGCAAAATAAATAAAAGTATTTTATATTTACTTTTGCTCATTTTAGCTTATAACAATAATTTTGCTATTTTAAGTATTCAACCAGTCTTTTGCTACTTTAACATTCAGCTAGCCCTTTTTTATAGCCCTACTTAGGTTTTTCTATCCTATTGCTAGTTTTTAGCTAGAGACACACTACTTTTTGCTTTTGGCAAGCCTTTAGCTACTTTTAGCTTCTCACCATCTTTTTGGTACGATAACATTTCAGCTATACTTTTGGTAGATTAAAGTTTATCCTATTGCTAGTTTTTAGCTAGATGTGGACTATATTTTGCTTTTAGCAAGCCTTTAACTACTTTTAGCTTCTCACCATCACTTTGGGATATTAAAGCTTTAGCTATTTCGGTAGATTAAGGTTTTATCTAGCCTTTTGCTATTTGGTAGCTTTTAGCAAGCATTCAGCTTTTGTATGTTTTAGTTAGCCTTGTGGTACTTTTAGCAAGCCCATAGCAACTTTTAGCTTCTTACTAGCATATTAGATTTTTGCTATGTTTAGCTTTGAGCTACTGTTTTGCTACTTTTAGATTTTAGCTATAGGCTTTTGTTTTATAGGCAGCATTTTGCATAATTTAGCATTTAGCCAGCATTCTGCTTCTTTTAACCTAAACAAGTAAGTTTTAGCTTCTTCAGAAAATCTTAGCATAGTCATTCAGCTTTCATTCAGCCCAGTGAGACAGCACTTTAAAGGTCCACCTGTGGCTCCGGAGCCACAGGCTGCCAATGTTCTCAGTTATATCATTCCCAGATTGCAGCACGTTCTTTTGTGCCTCACTGTAATTCTATCACCAACCTTTTATTTGCAGAGTAAGTCAGATATGGGTGCAAAACAGTTAACTTGATGGAGCCTGAAGTCAAAAAGACTTGTGAAACATTGTAATCCCAAAGAGCAGATGCACTGAAATAGAACTTCAGGTTCTATAACGTGGCTTCAAGCTGAAACCACACTGACCTCGTATGTGCTGGTGATGCTCAGCTTGTAGAAGATGGGCAGAAAGACCTCGGAGGTGATCACCATCGTCAGCACATCAGCAAAAGCATAGACTCCAATGCTGGCTCCGTAGAGGTACACCTGCATAGAGTTTTACTGCATTTGTAAGATGTCTAAAGTGGAAAAATTAATATTCTAATTCTGAATCTGCCTTACCTCGGCTGGGGTGGACAGGACTGTGATGGCTGACATGAAGCTGGCAGTCAGGGACAAGGAGACGGGCAGGGCGGTCATCCTGCGACCCCCCGTTAAGAAGTCCCCAGAGCTTGTCCGTCTCCTGTCAGTCCATGCGAAGTAGACCCCGACGGCAGCGGAAGCCACAAGCATGAGAGCAAACACTACATAATCCAGTGCCACAAAGGAGCCGGCGACCAGAGACATTGTTGTAAAGAAGTTTTCTTTTTCTGTAATTATTTGTTTGGAAAGTTATTCCGGCTGTTCCATGGGGCGTGCTCCCAGAAACAGACGGTTCTCTGTGGATAAATGGACGTCCTGGCACATCACCTGCTCACTCAACGCAGAGCTGAGTGCACGACCACAGACCGAAACCTTTTATTTGTGTGCGTGTGCATGTGTGAGGGGGAGTGATAAGGAGGAATGCTCATGTGTGTCCTGCAGGTCAAACAAGTTTTTGTGACTTCTAATTGTTGATTTTGGTTTATTAACAATTTAACAATGTTGATTGTAAATCAACTATTTACAATGATTTATTATCTGGGTGTCCAAATGCGTCTTAAAACGTCTTCAGTTGATCCAAAATGCTGCTGCCAGAGTCTTAACTGGAGTTACTGGGAGAGATCATATCTCTCCAGTTTTAGCTTCTCTCCATTGGCTCCCTGTCAAATCCAGAATTGAATTCAAAATCTTACTTCTAACCTACAAAGCCCTCAACAACCTAGCTCCATCTTATATGAGAGATCTTATTGTTCCACATTTTCCCAACAGAGCACTTTGCTCTCAGGCTGCAGGCTTACTTGTGGTTCCTATAGTTTCCAAAAGCAGAATGGGAGAAAGTTATTTCAGTTCTCAGGCTCCTCTCTTGTGGAACCAACTTCCAGTTTCTGTCCGTGAGGCTGACACATTGTCCAGTTTAAGACTGGGATTAAGACGTTCTTTTTTGATAAATCCTATGGTTAGGGTCGGCATTTGATTTATTTTTTTTGCTGGTTTTTTTGTTTGTTTTTGATTTTGTACAGCACTTCGGACGGCTGCTTGTTGTATTTTAAGTGCTTTAGAAATAAATTGGTATGTTACGGTATGGCTTGTTATGCTGCCATAGGCTTGGACTACTAGAGGACAAAATTACCTAATGTCTTCAAATGAACTGTTAAAATTCAATAGTTTTCATTTATTATTTCTATCTTAACATGTGATTCTTGACCTGCCATTGTGTATCTGTTCCTCTCAAACCCAGCCAGTTGAAGCAGATGGAGCTTGTCCTGAGCTGGTTCTGTTAAACGTTTCTTCCTCATGAGGGAGTTTTTCTTTCCACTGTCGCCTTCAAGCTTGCTCAAGATAAGAGTTCTGCGATGGCGTTGAACTCAAAGCAGTCTGCTCCTCAGATAAATAATGTTAAATTATTATTTTTATATATGAATGTTTCTGTTCAGTGCCCTGAGATGACTTCTGTTGTGACTTGGTGCTTTATAAATAAACTGAATTAAATTAAATTGAGTTTAAATTCTTTTTTTTTATTTTGTGCTTTGATTTGAGAAATTTCAACGGGGTATATTTGCATGCACATTTTAGAGAAATAAAGTTATAAAAACATGTTTTCTCATACTTTTGCATTAAAAATGCCACAAGTTAAAAGCTGCGTTAAAGTATTTACAGTCATACACGTCTCCTACTTGTCCAAATGTAGATGAAAATTCAAAGTTTAATTCAGCTTAAAGTGCCTGTGATATTATTTTTTTGTAATAAATATGAATGTATTTTCATCAAGATAACATTAATAATCTATTTACACTGCCGAGATCAACAGTTGTTAAGATATTCACATGTGCAGTAACAGGAAGTGATGTCAAAGGGGAATGCCTGCATGCAAACAGAGCGTTGCTACATTGGCTAACAACACCGACAGTAAAGAATCTGGTGGTTCTTTAGATTATTTTTGAGTCACTAGAAAGTCAGAGTTAAATATTGTTTCAGTAAACAAAAAACAGGAAGTTCCCTTTGATGTCACTTCCTGTTTCACTTTGGCTGCACCAAGTTCAAAAGAAAATATGCCAGTTATGGGACAAAATGGATAAAATTAAAATCATGTATTGCGCCAAATCTATTGAATATTAAGTTGCTTTCTTCCACTTTTTGTATTTGTAGAAAATCCATGACACATGCACTTTAAAGTAATCATAGTGCATCTGCAAATGATTAAATGTTAGTCAACCATACTCAAGATGGCCACCAAAGCTAATCAACAAATATCCAACACAAGTAGGGCTATAAATCAGCCAGTTTTACAGATGCTGGGCAAACATTTGATTTGTTAGTATGAACGTCCCCACTTAATTTGCAATATGGCGAGTGATGCACATTCCTCTAAAGAATGCTTTTTAAAAATAAAATCCAGATAGATGTATTATTTATAGTCACATGTGTTAGCAGCTGATAAATAAGTTCAATTCATCAAGGAGACTGAGTAAACTTTCATTTTTGCTGATAAGTTCACGAATGTGGAGCGAGGTTTGGAAATTTTTGAAGCAAGATGCCGTTTGTGTGATTTTCACGTTTGAGTAAACGGATCGCTGGACATCAGAGTTTGTAGAAACTGGAACATTTTGAGATAAAAACGAACGTATGAATACCTCCCATAGTTTATATATATATATATATGTCTGAAGGAGCACTTTATGTAAACTTATTATTCTGTTTATCTCTTTAAGTAGTTGTTATATCATGAGGAAAGGTATAAAACCCACTGCTGGCGTCATCTGTGTCCTCCCACATTAAACCAACTGAAGTGTAAAAAAGCTCAAAGGAAACCAGAACAAACACTAATCACGGACAACTCCTGTTTTCATGGATTCAGAGCGTTTCTTTTCACATTCTTCAATTTTCAAAGACGGCGTGTTTCTAAGAACAAGCAGTCGACCTTGGAGACAACACAATGTTCCCCCCTGACCGTAAACAGTTATGTCTTTTTTCTAGACTAGCTAATAATATTTTTAATTTTCTTGCTTCTCTCTTTTTTTGTAGGGCCTGTCTTAAAATTATAAATGTTTCCTGTAGTCCACCTACGGTAACTTCTGGTTGTTGTAATTCAGTTTAAGAGAAATAAATTGTTGTTAGGCTCAGCCATCTGCTTTAATAAATGAACAACTCCTTAAATAGATATTTATCGCTTTAGTTTTAGGTCAGAGAAAATTAGTTTAAGGTTCATGTATAATTTCTCAGGTTTGTTTATGTCGTTAAAAATAAGACCATAACATGAACATAAGCTTTTATATTCAAACATACAGAATGAGAGGAGGGAGAATTAACCATTAAATAAAGAAAATAAAAAAGAAAGAAAAATGAGTAATTGTTAAATTAAATACTTTTTAATTAATATTAACCTATGATGAAAAGTTATGTAAAAATTTGCTGAGCTAATTAAAATACATTGCAAGTACCGTAGGATAACTTGCTTAATTAACTACATAGTGTTCAAACAAACTACAGACTTATCAGGTTGTTTGATCAGGCGGCCTATTAGATTAAATTATTTTTGCCTAAAGGAATAATTTTGTGCATGACTTTTGATTATATTTTGATAAGAATTTGTATATTTTTTTTATTTGGAGGGCATGACACACTATATTTTATGTAAAAATAAATTATACTGTTTTATAAAATTAGTACTTCCACTGTAGCAGCAGGTATTTTCTCCAGCTGTGCTTTTCTAAGAGGGTGAAACATGTTAGACTTCTTTATAAACAAAATAAAGAATTTTGTTTAAATATTCATACACATAAAATGACATCTAAATACTTGATTTTGTTGTTTGTGCTGTAAGACAAAAACCTTGGAGAATCCTGTTTAAAACTACATGTAAAGGTAATTTATTACTAGCTGGCTTGCTGATAAGGTATTTTAATCACTAATAAACTGAGTGTACATAAAAAGAACTTAATCTGAGTTGAGCCATAAGATCTGGCCACATTCAGCCCAAATAAATTAAAAAATGACTTAAATTACATTTTAAATTGAAAAATATATGTTGTTTAGATGTCAAAGATTAATTATAATTATTTATTATATGTTTATTAGCCTGTGTTTTCGTTGCCAGCCTTGTTTGTTCACAACTTTTGGTTTAACTAACAAGAACGCAACAAAAAAAAACAAGGCTATTAAACGAACCCGGAAATGAACGGGGGATTCCTCTCTCGCGTACTTTTCGTCTTTGTTGCTGTTCGTTGAGACCAGGAGACCACGTTAGAATTTTTACCCATAATGCTTTGTTCAGCATGGCTGCTCCCTGATTTCGGCGTGTGTGTGTAAACATTTGTAAGAAATAGGTAAATAAGAAAACATCAGTTTGAGGGTTTTATGCTTGTATTAGGCGCGCGACTGCTTTTGGAATATATTTAAATTATTTTTCAGTCACGAGGCCGACATGAAAATCAAGTGCAAGTCGTCGTATCACAAATCTGAGAACACACACAGGGTGAGTTTGTAATTCTATGTGAACATAATGTTTAAAGTTGTGCCTTAAAAGTCTAGAAACATACTGAAACCTGTCGAGGTTAACATTGTTACTTGTAAAATTGCGTTAAATACAGGTTTCCAGGCTAGCAATACAAGCTAATAGCAATTTGTGGCCGTTTATGGTATTTTAACATCTTTCTGTTTCCAGTTTCTCACTTTTGCTGAAAGACTCGCTAATGTCAACATTGATGTCATCCGTCGGATTGACAGAACCGGGTCTTATGCAGAGGTTTGTACAAACAGCGACTTATTTTAAAACGCTTTTTATTTTGAAAACTTCCCTTTATGTTCTGACCGGAAGTTGTTTTAAATTTACAGGAAGTAGAAACATACTTCTCAGAAGGCCTGACAAAATGGAAAGACCTCAACTTGACAGAGCATTTCAGTAAGTATTGGGAATTATTCTGCTGTGTTAATAGCTGCTTGGTAAAATAATAATTTATCTACAAAAAACCTCAGCTGTTTTGATGTTTTCTCTCAGCAACATTTTTGAAAGAGGTCGTGGACAAGAGCCAGTCATTCAACATGCTGGTCTTCCACCAGAAGTCCATCGTGGAGAGTCTGAAGACACATCTGGCCGTGCAGAACAGTTTGGCTTTCCAACCCCTGCTGGAGTGAGCGCTTCCTCTTTATTTCCTTTAGGGAGGTTTCCAAACTCAAACTACTTTAACATGCTTTTTTCCATTTTAGCCATTTAATGTCATGCGTTTAGCTCATTTGGAAAGAGTTTGCTAAGACTTTTTGTTTGAACTTTTCTACTTTTGTAAAATATTTGTAATTTTTTTAAAATAATTTTAACATAAAAACGGTTAAATTTGTTTAATGCCCTCAAAATCATTGTTTTGTTTAAAATGCGCTTCAGTATTCTTGCTCTATTTTGGTGGTCATGCGCTATATTTAGCTTTTAGCTGCTTTTTTTTTTTTTTTTTTTTGGCTACCGTTTTTTGCGACTTAGCTATTAGCTATGTCCTGCTCCTTTTACTTAGTTGATTTTAGCAAATGTGCTAATTTCACATTTTAGCCACGGTTTGGTTTCTTTTAAAGTTTAGCTACAGTTTTGCTACTTTCAGATTTGTTCTGGCATGTTTATGTTTTGGTTATTGTCCTTTTCCTTTTAGTTAGTTGTGTTGTTTTAGAGTTTTGCTCCTTTTATTGTCAGTTTTGTTACTTTGAGCTTTTAACGGTTTTGTCAGTTTTTTCTTTTTTTTTTTTTTGGTTGCGTCTAGTTCTTAGTTAGCATTCTGCTCCTGTTAGCTTTAGCTACTGTTTTACTGTTTTTATGTAGTTATGCTCCTTTTAACTTTTTAACAGCAACATTGTTGTTTTAGCCACTGATTTGCAAATTTAAAGTTTTAGCTCTAGTTTAGAAAATTTTACGTTGATTAGTTTAGCTAGTTTTACCTTTTTGAACTTTTTTTGGTCAGTTTTAGTTGTTTTTCTGCTTGTTTTGCCTTCTAACAGCTGAGTTTTAGCTTCTTCAACACGGCTTAATGGTGTCGCACAGAGACTGTTTACATTTTCTTTAGTTTTGTTTATTTTTGTTTACTTCTCCAGCCTGGTGGTGCAGCTGGCCAGAGACCTGCAGACAGATTTTTACCCTCACTTTCCTGACTTCTTCCTGCTGATCACCTCCCTGCTGGACACGAAGGACACAGAGCTGCTGGAGTGGGCTTTCACTTGCCTGTCGTACCTCTACAAGTACCTGTGGCGGGTCATGGTGAAGGACATGTCCAACATATACAGGTGGGACGATGACGTCACATGTGGCCGAATGCAAACATCTTTTGTCACTCCTTTCTTTTTTGTGTTTTACTCCAAACTGTGATGAGACTTCACCATGCTGTTGACACTTTCTCCAGTAAACTGTGTTAAAGTGACAGCCTGTTTCCACTCTGCAGTTTGTACAGCACGCTGTTGGCTCACTCGAAGGAACACATCCGCAAGTTTGCAGCCGAGAGCTTTTCTTTTTTGATGAGGAAGGTGAGTTAAAAAAAAACAAATCACAAAAATCAAGAATGCTCTTCCTTTGCATTAGCAGCTGCTCGTGTGTTTTGTGTCATCTCCTTCCCTCAGGTTCCAGATCTCGACGCCCTGCTGGTTCTCATGTTCTCGGACCTGGAGCACCACCTGGACAAGGTGGAGGGAGCGGGTCAGCTGTTGTTCGAGATGTGTCGAGGAGTTCGGAAAATGTTCCACTCCTGCGCCGCGACTGTGAGTTTATTCAGCTGCTTTTTTTAACCTAGTTCTTCTCCCACTATGTTCTTTGCGCTTTAATTAAACTTGGCATAAAAAGTACGGTTGTTTGTATTTGGCTGATGAGTTCTTTGTTGTAAAAACGCTTCTTGTAGATATTTTTCATTCTTTTGAGAAGTCTGTTCATTTGTGTTTTTATTTAAGGGTTGCACCCATGAAACAAATAACCAAATCTTTGCGTAACGGCTTTTCCTCCTATTGATGACTTGGTTTCTTTACATATTGTGCTTTAACGTCTGTGTGTTTTGTGCTGTTTTAGTCGTTCGTGTATCAAAACGTTCCGTGCATTCAGGATATGGGCGCTATAAGATTTATGACTTTTTTACTTTTAAAATGATGTAACTTTACTGGCAAATATTTTCACCATAGAAATACATTGATATTCCTTCAACTCCTTCAGTTCATTGTTTATTTTATCCTGCTTCAAGTAGTCCCTCGTTTATTGCGGGGGTGATGTTCCAGACCCCCACAATAAGTGAAAAACCGTGAAGTAGCGACGTTATATTTATTTTAGTATTTATAAATATTTTAAGGCTTTTTTAAATCCTTCCCACACTCTTGCAATGTTCTAAACTCTTAAACCTACATCATTTTAACCACATACGTATTTTTAGCTACTAAATTTTAGTCACCAGCACTGCAGAATAGCAGCAGCTCGGTTCCACTCCGACTTGACCTATGAGTCTGGAGGTCCGGCTCTGCACTGGTTCTGGTCCGGTTCCCGATGGGTTCCGTGCGGCTCTCTGCATCGGCTCTGCACCGAAGTCACTGAATGAGTAAGGGCCAAACTTTTAAGGACCAGATCAAAACTATCCCTCTAGTATTTCAGCAGAAGGTAATGAAGCTTTTGGGCGGGGCACTGTTGGCTTCTGGGAAATGTAGTTGTTATGAGTGAGGATAGAGTGTAGGCTTATTGAGAGAAAACTACAAAATGGCGGTGCCTGTCTGAAGTATTATATTTTTTCGTTAACTTTTTACTGCACAGTATCCCATACCGTCCCAATAACGTGAGTAATATTAAAGTTGACCATCATGTGTCGTGTACTTTTTTACTCCCTCGTGTACAATCTTACTTTGAAAATCTGCGAAAGAGCGAGTCTGCGAAAGTCGAACTGTGAAGTCACGAGGGACTACTGTATTTGTCTTAAACTACTTTTAGTTTTTTGTTAGCCTTTTACTACCTTTAAATAACTAAACTTTTAGCGAGTATTTTGCTATCTTTAGCTATTTTTTACGTTTAACTTTTAGGTTAGTTTTATTTTTTCTTTTAGCTTCCAATTTTTTGTCTACTTTTAGCTTTAAGGCATTATTTTGCTCTTTTTTTTTATTTTTTTTTTTTAGCTTTTTTCTACTTTTAGCTTTAAGCTAACATTTTTGTTATATCATTTAGCTAGTTTTTTTTTTTTGTTGTTGCCACTTTTGTCTTTTAGCCAGACATTAGCTACTTTTATCTTAAAGCTTGACTTTTTCTTCTTAAAGATTTTAGCTAGTGTTCTGCTATTTTTTAGCTTTAAGCTAGACTTTCTTGTAGATTTTAGCTAGCTTTTTGCTACTTTTAGCTTTAAGGTAGTCTTTTTCTTATAGTTTTTAGCAAATGTTTATGTACTTTTAGCTTTTAGCTTCACTTTTTCTTATACCTTTTTAGCTAGTGTTTAGCTATTTTTAGCTTTTACTAAGACATTTGCTACTTTAGCTTTAAGCTTGACTTTTTCTTCTTATAGCTTTTAGCTAGTGTTTAGCTA